CACAGAAAAATAGGGTGGAAGGGACCTCAGGACCTCTATTCCAAATCCCCGCTAAAGACAGGGTTATCAATTGTTTATCTAAGCTGTGCTAAACACTTCCAAAAATGGGGAATTCCACAATCTCTCAAGGGAATCTGTTTTAATATTTCACCCCCTTCATCGTGAGGAAGTTCTTCCTAATCATCAACCTAAAGTACACTTGTTGCAATAGAAGGGGTTTCCTTGTTCTGTCCCTTGCATTCACAGAATATAGCCTATGACTATCCCATTTTAAACACACTTCAAGTATTTGAAGACAGTTTTTAAATCTCCTCCCCAATCTTCCATTCTCTAAATAATCGTAGTTCTTCTAACTTTTTTGCTTAAATCACATTTTCTGGACTGAATTTTCTGCACAAATTAGAAAGAGTTGGACTGGAGGCTGTAACAGGATCAGGCCCCATCTCTGAGCTCCAGGCCCTCTGACCCCAAGCTCTTTCTGTCTCTGGCCTCTGGACCCTCTGGCCTCAGCCTCTGCCCATTTCTGGGCTCTGGGTTTGCTGCCAGGCCTGTCAGGCTTCTGGGTTCTTTTGCCCTCTCTATGCCCTTCCCCAGGCTCTGGCCTTGCTTCAAGGCCTCTGATCCTCTCAACCTTACTCCTGGGCCTCAGCGCTACTCACAGGCCTGCTGGGACCTCCTCCACCCTTTATTTTTATCCACAAACCTTTAGTCAAAGTTATATTCTGCTACTTTGTGGCAAGACTTCACCTTATCTGGGATTCTGTTAATTCATAAGGCAGCAGTATCATGCAGGCAGTCCTTAGAGCAGCTCTGGGATCAGTCCGGCATCCCCCTGAAGTCTTCCTAGCCAGAAGCCTTTCAACCTGCAATTTGCAGGGCTAGACTCCCTAGCTTGACTCAGCCTCAGGCTTATATGCCATCTCCAGGAATAACTAGGATGACCACCTTTTCAAAATGCAAAAGCATGACATGGAGCCCCCCTACCCCACTTCACCCTCCCATGCTGGGTCCCATCTGTGGGGCCATGGAGGGCCCATATGGACAGCAGCAGGGCATGGAGCCCTGTGCCCTCAGTAGACAGCCTGCATATGCCCCTGTTCCACACACAAATACAAGAGGGGTTATATGCCTCCTCACACCCTTTCTCCAGGAGTGCATGCAATAGTGGGGAACCAGCCCACCCACCACTTCCTGGATAAGCTGCCCATGACTGCATCCCACTCCTTGGTCAGGGTCCACAGCTGTATATTCCTGCCTGGGCCCTGGGTTCCATGCACCACTCTGACTGGGCAGTGCCCCCAGCTACCAACCCTGCCCCACTTCTCTCCCTCACTGTGGGAGTTCTCAAATGGCTTGGCAGGCCATATTTTTCCTGCCTTTGTACTAGACTGTAGTACTGCAGAGAAGGACCTGTGGGTGACAGTAGGCCATAAGCCAAATATGAGTCAACAGTATACTCTTCTTACACAAAAAAGCCAACAGCATACTGAAGTGGTACTTCAGAATCAATGGAATTGATTTTCCTTTTCTATTCAGAACTGATGAGGCCTGAACTGGAATATTGTGTCTAGGTTTGGGCTCCACACTTCAAGAAGAATATGGACAGTTTGAACTGAGTGTGATGCAGGACAACAGAAGTGATCAGGGGCCTACAGGGCAAGACTTATGAAGGCTGAAAGAACTATGATTATTTAGCTTGGAGAAGAAAAGACTGAGGGTAAGATTTGACAACAATCTTCAATGACCTGAAAGGCAGTTACAGAGAGAATGGAGATGAACTTTACTTCTGTGGCAAGACTAGGCAAAAGCCTCTAAGATGTAGTAGGGGAAATTTCAATGCAAGATTAAGATGAACTTTCAAGCTATGAGGCATGTCAAGTACTGGAAAAGGCTACCTAGAGAAACTATGGAATCTGCATCCTTGGGAGTTTTCAAAAGCAAGTTAGATATACATTTGGCTACAATAGTCAGGGGTGATTGTGCCTTCAGCAGGAGGTTGAAATAACTTTATCAAGAGGCTAAAATAACCTTGTGAGGTCCCTTCCAACCCTACTTTTCTAAAATCCTATGAAACTGTATAGGAAGGACAGATTAGATCATGAAACTTAGAAATTCACGTTGCACATAAAACTTTCTAGGGAGTCTAAGACATACATTTTCTCAAGTAAAATGGACAATATAGCAGAATCTGAGTTGGGGGTGCGTGGGGTGGGGGCCAGGATTTCTGGTACAGACAGAGTAGAAGTGTTATACTGATAACTTCCATATTAGGGAAAACACTGAATAGGTAACAAGAGTGTTTTGGTACAAAAATATATTTGGTTTACTTGCTTAAACAATGCCTAGCACATTTTGGCTTTGATCCCTCACATGGACCTTAATGCACTGACACAACATAAATGATACTAGATAGTACAAGATATTCAATCAGCCAAGGTATCTCTGATGCAAAGTAGCATCTGATGTTGTATCCTCTTCAATGTAGAAATGGCAGAGAAGTGGCGGAGAGGCTACTTGGGCTGCACTTCTAATGCTGACAATGCAATTTAGAGGCTTATGATGCTGTCCCATTGTCAAAAGAAGAGCCCCATCTTCACTGTACTTGGACCACTGTGGGCCAGAGAGCAAATAAAAAGTGTAATAGTACCTTGGGCTTGGTCTTCTCCTATGGCAAGAATATGATCAGTAAAGGCAGGAGTCTTCTTCTTCCAAGAGCTAGTTACAGCTTGATTTTTTTGGTTCAATCTGCACCAGCCTTGGATCTGGCATAAATAAGTGCAGCCTACAGGTCTATGCAATCTGTTTACACCCAAAAGGACCATCTCAGTATTATCACAGCCCCATCTTCCAGTAGGCATTGTGGGTAGGGCAACTTCCCCCAGAACTGGGTATGTTATCAACTGACCAGTTACCACCAGAAATTACTTGGGGAAAAGAAACTTCATTAAAACTGAGAATCTGGTCATGGGAATGTAACACGTGTTAAATTCACCTTGTGGCATTAATACAGCAACTAACTGGAAGACAATAGCCTGGTTGTGGCCACCTTGATACGTAGAAATTCAAAACAGGTAAATCCACAACTAATGTCATCACAACACCGACCAAACATCCAACAGCCTCCCAGTTGATGGAGCAACAACCATAGAAATAAAAAAAGCCCTTTTAAGGACCCTTCATTCAGAAGATTAGGACCTGGGATATGGATCTGCTAACTGAATATTGAGGGCCTCTCGAGGGCCAAATGCGACTATCTGGGGAAGATGCTGAAGACACATTGAATCAATGTCTTAGCACTTCAGAAAACCCATGTCAAGAGTAAAGAACAAGCTTGCCTCTATATGATAGATGGCAATAAGCTTGCCACCTACACTTACAATCCAAAAGATGTCCTGGCAATCTATGTGAAGAATGATATATCCAACTATATAAAACTATCATCCACTGAAAACTGAGGCACCGGCACGACATCCATCAAGCTTGGTAAATTGACAATTGTTAATGTTTACAAGCCACACAATGAAAATTACCCCATCCAGCTCTCCTGAATACCTGTCTATATATGTTGTAGACTTCAACAGTCATCATATGGAATGGGGGTATGAAGCCAATGATGAAAACAACAAGGAAGCCTTGAAAGACTAGATGTCAGAAGATAATGTACAGCTTGTGTATGATGCCAAAGAATGAAGTACTTTTAGGTCTGTGAGGTGGGGACGGGACTATAATATGGACCTCACCTTTGTTTAAACCAACAGGGATGATGCCCCTCTCCTCACATCTGGAAATGTGCCGTCTAGCTTCCCAAACAGCTAACATCAGCCAGTCATCAGACATGTTGGGATCAAAATCCTGGTTATGCAGTCAAAATGGGTGGTGGGGTAGAACTTTGGCAAGGCAGACTTGTCCAGGTTCACAGCTGAGGTTGAAAAAACTATTCACCAAATCCCTGAAATGCCAAAGGAGTATAATCAGTTTGTAGTTCTTCTCATTACAGCCACAAAAAACAACATTCTGCATGGATACAGGGAGACATACATTCCTTGTTGGAACTCAGAGTGTGAGAACCACTTCCAACAATGCTAAGAGTTGGGGGATCCTGCACTGGCAACAGCCTTGCTTGGGTCACTGTACATCACCAGATGCCTGAAATGGATGGAGTGTGTGGACTCCTTGGACTTCACACTTTCAAGCCACAGAGCCTGGAAACTTCCGAGGAAACTCAGAGTAATTAACCCTACAGAAGTTGTGAATCTGCAGGTCAAGCTGGATCTGGATGCCATTGCCACAGAGCTGGTTGCAAATTTGAAGGGACCATTTGACAAGCATTACAAACAGGACATCAGGTGGCAACTGAAGGAGTCAAAGGCCAACTGCTTGGAATCCTCCAGATTCTTAAACAGTTTCTCTACTGAGGAACTTAGGGCTGTTTTGACTGCAACAAGAAGAGGGAAGGCTGCAGGGAAAGATGGAAACCCTCCAGACTTCCTCCACTATCTCAGAGTGATGGCTCAAAAGTAGCTTCTGTGCCTATATTCAAAAGTGATGGATTGTGGCCAAATCCCTTGAATCTGGCATGAAGCAATGGCTCTGTTGAAACTGGGGAAACCAGCCAGTGATCCCAGGAGCTAAAGGTTAATATCATTGTTTTGTACAACTTACAGACTACTGGAGTGGCTTATCCTCCAAAATATTAGCTTAATCACCAAGGCATGCATCCCCTGAGAACAAGCTAGTTTTATGCCACACCGAAGCTGGTGTGACCAAGTGCTTGCCCTCACCATGAACATTGAGGTTGGCTTCCAGCACAACCTTAAAACCGGCACTACATTCATTGAACTTTTTGCAGCATATGGTACTGTTTAGAAGCATGATCTATTGCTAAAACTGTCCTGCCTTCTTCTGTGTGCCAGACTGTTCCATCTTTTGAGGACATTTATGAGTAACTAACAGAAGCATCTCTATCTCCACGACAAAGTGAGCAAAGGACTCTAAATAACAGCCTCCCACAGGGAAGTGTTCTTGCCCCAACTCTCTTCAACGGTTATATAAGTGATACACTTGCCATCTCTTTGAGGAATTTTGCATATATTGTTGACCTCACACTATACACAGAGGCAAGGACCTTCAAAGAGATTGAAGGCACACTGACATTAGATCTGTCAATAATGACATAATATTTCTGTAAGTGGAGGCTGCAACCAAATCCTTCATCTCAGTGTTTCACATCAACAACCATAAAGCACATGTTCAGCTCAACATTAGTTTTTGTAAAGAAAAATTACAATGTGGGAGTACTTCACACCTCTGATATGGCACTGGTCTTCTCAATGGCCAAGTACTGTGCACTCATACCAAATGTGTGGATGTCCAATTAAATTCTGTAATACGTGCTATCGCCAGAACCCTGAAATCTACACCAATTCAGTGCATACTGGTGCTGGCTAATAATGCTTCTCCAAACATTTGCTACGATGAAGCTACATACAGACAGGTCATCCACATGAATGATAACCCAGACCTCCCCATCCATAGAGATTTAAAGAACCTCCCAGCTCACCCCTTCATCTCTCAAAAATCTTTCTGGACATGTATGTAAGCCCTCATAGGACATGACTGTGCAACAACTTGGAGGAAAAGGTTAAATGAAACCACCATTCTAAACAAACATTTAATTTATGACCCAAGAA